AGGATCTTATCCAGGGTACTACATTATATTTAGTTATTACATTTAGTTTCTCTTGACTGTGACAGTTTCTCAGACTTTCCTTATTTTTGAGGACCTTTAAAGTTTTGAGGAATATTGGTCAGGTATTTTGTAGGATGCTCCTCTACTGGGATTTGTCTGATGTTTTTCTCATGATTAGACTGAGGATGTGGGTTTTGGGGTGGAAGATCACAGAGATAAAGTGCCATTTTAATCACATCATATCGAGGGTACATACTATCAACATGACATCACTTTTAATATTGACCTTGGTCACATGACTGAGGTAGTGTTTATTAGGTTTCCCCACTGCAAAGTTACTCAGTTTTCCCCTTTCCATACTGTGCTCTTTGGAAGGAAGTCACGATGCACAGCCCACACTTAAGGACTGGGGAGTTTTTTCCTCATCTTGAGGGCAGAGTAGCTATATAAATTATTTGGAATTCTTCTGCAAAGGGAAATGTGTGTCTTTTTTCTCATTTATTTAATTAATCATTTACTTATATCGATATGGACTCATGGATATTTAGTTTATACCTTGGGTTATAATCCAATACTACTCTATTTATTTTGTTGTTCATATTGTTCCAGCTTTGGCTATTGGGAACTCTTTCCGTTGGTTCTTGTGTCCCTTTGAAATATCCCTATCGATGTGGGGTTTTTGTTTGTTTGTTTTTGAGCCCTTCTTTGCTTTCTAGCACTACTTGATAATCCAGGTTTATCTTGTGTATTTCCTGCCCCAGTTCGAGAATTAGCCATTTCTCCAAGAAGCCCTGGTTCCTTGTATTAGAGAATGGTATTAAAAACCAAGATCTGGGGGCACCTGGGTGGCTCAGTTGGTTAAGCGTCCCGACTTTTGATTTCGGCTCAGGTAGTGATCTCAGGGTCCTGGGATTGAGTTCTGCTTTCGGCTCCGTGCTTAGCATGGAGTCTGCTTATCCCTCTCCCTCTGCTCCTCAATGCCGCCGCCCCACCTCAAATAAATAAATAAATAAATAAATAAATAAATAAATAAATAAAGTCTAACAAACAAGCAAACAAAAAAACCAAGATCGGGGTGCCAGATGGGCTCTCTGTTTTGGTTGTCATTCCATTGTAGTTCATTTTTCACATGGCAGAATGAGAATTTAAATAATTTAAGTCAGATTATAATTTGCTTTTTAAAAACTGTGATGATTTATCTTTGAAAATCACAACTCCTTATAAAGGTTTTTAAAGTTGAGATCTGGGGATGCCTGGGTAGCTCAGTTGATTGAGTCCAGCTCTTGGTTTCAGCTCAGGTCATGATCTCAGGGTTGTGAGATTGAGCCCTGTGTGGGGTTCTGGCTCAGCGGGGAGTCTGCTTGAGATTCTCTCTCTCCTTCTGTCCCTCCCCTCCCCTCAAGTGCTCTCGTGCTTTCTTCTCTCTCTCAAATAAATAAATAAATCTTAAAAAAAAATAACTATGTAGAGGAGCAGATATTATCTTTGCCTTGCAAATGAAAAACACAACTGATTTTTAAAGATCTAAATCACTTTTTTAGTGCTTTGTAGAAATAGGAGTACACACACTTAACACTGACAATTAGATCTTTTCTCCATGGTCTCTTTATTCTTAATTTATGCTTTTCTCTTCCTAATTTTGCGTTGCTTCTTCTGTTTGTGTATAGTGATATCTAGGAAATGAAGAGCTTTGTATAAACATATTCTCTAGACAACTCAAACATGTATTTTTTTTTATTCTTATGTTAATCCCCATACATTACATCATTAGTTCTAGATGAAGTGTTCCATGATTCATTGTTTGTGCATAACACCCAGTGCTCCATGCAGAACGTGCCCTCCTCAATACCCACCACCAGGCTAACCCATCCTCCCACCCCCCTCCCCTCTAGAACCCTGTTTGTTTTTCAGAGTCCATCATCTCTCATGGTTTGTCTACCCCTCCGATTTCCCCCGCTTCATTCTTCCCCTCCCGCTACCTTCTTCTTCTTCTTTTTTTCCCTTAACATATATTGCATTATTTCTAACATGTATTTTAACCCTAAAATTATTGACTAATGATTTAAAAAATAAAATCCTGTCTAAATAATATACTTCTGTGTCTTACTAAGTAGCATAATTAAATGTTTAATTTCATGACTTGTAGCTATCATTATTAATATTACATGTTATACTTAACATAGTTATTAAACTGTGTTACAAAACAATGGTGCAGTGAGGCCCTAATGAGGTACTTAGGGTTCTGTAAAGTGTGGAGGGTGATATTCTTTTACCTTTCCATGTCGCATTGACATTTCAGAGGCTACTGAGGTGTGTGGAGTCTGCCTCTATACTCATCAACTCTGGATTGCCCTTGTTTGAGTTTCTTTTGTTGGTTCCTTAAAATTTTAGGACCTGCCATTTATTGTGTGTAGCGCTAAGCTGCTAGGCACAACTTGTATTGTTCTACTTCTGATTACAACCTAGAGTAGAAATGAAAGTTTCCAGGGAAAATAAGAAAACAAATATTATGTGTAAAACTGATGTAGGGCAATAAATTTTACCACCTCCCAAGTCTGCCTCATCCCCCAGAGAGCACATGCCAACTATGTACACAACGCCAATGTTAAAGAACCAGGCAAAACCACTGGAAACATTCTCCCGCAGCAGTATGACGAGACAGAGAGCCCATTGATCAGAGCCTTCTGTGTGCCTACTGGTGGTCTCTGGCAATTTGCAGGAACAGCTGCCCTGTGGTCAAGATGCAGGTAAAGCACTTTGGCCGAATCTGGTTAAAAATAATGAGGGAGAATAGAGAAATCAAAACTATATTGTACCTAAAATGGGTGTAGTGTATAAGAGCTGTAGACATTTTTATTTCCAGCTAATTTCTGGGTTTCTGGCTTTTATTGGAGGTTTGCGTTTGCTAAATATCTGGCTGAAGAAGAAATGAAGTGTGGTGGTTTGCGAGGGCTTCCATAACAAAGTGCCACAAACTGGGAGGCTTAAACAACAGAAATGTACTGTGTCACAGCTCTGGAGCCTGGAAGTCCCAGATCAAGATGTCAGCAGGGTTGGTTTCTTCTGAGGTCTCTCTTCTTAGCTTGTGGGTGACTGTCTTCTCTCCGTGTCTTCACGTGGTCTTCCTTCCTGGTGCGTCTATGTCCTGATTTCCTTTTCTCATAAGGACACCAGTCACGTCGGATTAGGGTCCACTTGAATGACTTCATTTTAACTTAATTACCTCTTTAAAAACCCTATTTTCAAATACAGTCACAGTACTAGGGGTCAGAACTTCAAAACAAGAAATTTTGGGAGGACACATTTCCACTTATAATATGAAGAAGGTGTCCTCTATTAACACTGTTTCTTTAGTGCTTTGAATTTATTTTCAACAGCTAAAGTATCTTTAGTTTAGAGGTTTTATTCTCCCTCGAGATATAAATATACACAAGACACAATTAAATTATTTTAAAGGAAACATGATTAAGTGCTGTAAATTATACAGACGGGAAATGATACTGGAATTTTAAGAAGGCAGTTATCGATCTGGCCTCGGGAACAATTATGGAACCTGGGAGCCAAAAATGGCCTTAAGAATTGTCTGTTTTTTCAGTCTTACTCGTCTATAGGTTTGAGTTGTACAGATGCAAATTTTTATCACCTCACACTCACTTTTCCTCTGTTCTGTCCTTTTCCCTTCTCCTTTTCTTTATTCTTGGGAACTACAGAAAAATTTAGACAGCTTACCTCTCCATGGAATAGTTTCTGTGGAGCAACACTGATTTATTTCAAATGCTTCATTTTACTAATGAGGAAAATGGGGCTCACAAGTTAAATGACTTGTCCTGGTTTCTGAACTTGATTCCAGGTCTCTTGATTCTTACTGCTATATGCTGTTGAGTGCATTGTGCAACTATTTTGTTTTTTTATTTTATATTTTTTGAAGATCTTACTTATTTAGTTGAGAGAGGGGGAGAACACAGAGGGAAAGGATGAGGGAGAAGCAGGCTACCCACTGAGCAGGGAGCCCAATGCGGGACTCGATCCCGGGACCCTGAGATCATAACCTGAGCCGAAGGCAGACACTTAACTGACTGAGCCACCCAGGCACTCTGAATTGTGCAACTATTTTAATAAGAGAATGTTTCATTTGTGTTTTAAGGACAAATAAGATTTCTTCTCTATGTTGTGTAAACAGATCATTTATATTATTTTGCATTAGCCTTCTCATATATTTCCAGTTTCTTCAGTTATTTTTATTGCTATTCTCTTATTGTTTGCTACATCATTTTGGCACTCATATTAAAATCATACCCCAACTAAGATCACAAGCAGAGTAATACATTCTGTTTATATATATGTATATATATTTAGCCAAAATATTGCGAGTTGTACTTGTAGCCTACTAGGTCAACTTTAGTTAGTATCTTTGCTTAGATAAAAACCTACCGTTTACTCAACTTATAATACATGCCAGAGCCTGACCTAGGAACTTCATAGTATTATACACAGAAATTATAAAAGGCAAGTATATTCCTTCCATCCTATAAAGAGCGAAACCAAGACTTAGAGTGGTAATTACCTTCTCCAAAGTCACATAGGGTAGCATGTGGTAGACCTGAGCCGGGCTCTGGTCTGTCTGTCTCCACTGGCTGGCTTTTCCACGACTATCTCCTCAATATTAAGTGATTCATAGACTCTACCACTCTGCTACATAAAGTCTCCCACAAACATATCAGGGTGGCAGGGATCCCAGTGACAGGGACACGGCCTGGTTACAAGGAAAACACAAAAACCAAACAATACCAGGCTCATGTGGGGCATCTTCAAGCAAGGTTCCTCAGGTTTGCTGCTCTTGGGCTATTTTGATTTCTAAATTTATGGGTTGTTTGATTTATTTTTGCCAGGTTTTTTTTTTTTTTTTTTTTTTTTTTTTAAATTGAGCATGCAGTTAATGGACACCTTTTATTTGTACACTTTTCTCAGTTTTTAGTTGTGGTAGTTGATGTGTCTTTCAACATTTAAATTTATTTTTTTCCCTGTGTATTTTTCTGTCTTTTGTATTTATAGCATCATTATCATCAAAATATAACACAGAGGCCTGAATTTTAAACACAATATAAGTAGATACCTCATAACCTAGTACTGCTTTGGTTATAATATCAGAATATTTTGGGTTAAAAGTAACAGAAATACCCCAGTAAAAGTGGCTTGACAGATTTGACTACCTCAACAGGAGCTCTAGAGAAAGGCCGTTCTGGAACTGGAACGGTATTCCCTTCAATGTTACAAGATTGCTGTAGCCGTTCTAAGGGTCATATCCTTGAATAATAACCTCAAAGGCAGGAAACAGGGAGAGAGAGAGAAAGTAGGAAAAGGGCCTTCTCCCTAAGTCACCCCTGTCCTTTTCATGGAGAAAAACCTTTCCAAGAAGTGTCCCAGCAGACCTCCCGGTACTGCTCACTGCTCGGAACCAGGTTACCTGCCTGTCCGGGAACCAGCCACTGACGAAGGACAGGGGGACTGCCACAGCTGGTGGGGCCTGGTAATGATTCATTCCTGGTGGGGGGACACATGAGCACCCTTCCAGAGCTGGAATTCTGTCTTCGGGGAAAAGGAAGACTGGCTGTTAGATGGGCAACCAACAGTGTCTGCCACAATTGTTGAACTCTTTTAGTATGGTCAAATAACCACATGAACAGATGTAGGATTACAAGTCTGACGAGTGCGAAGGAGGAGCAACTGGTGCTCTATGAGTATAAACTCAAGGGATTTGATTTAAGGTCATCTGGCCACTCCTTTTTATTTTATTTTATTTTATTTTTTAAGATTTTATTTATTTATTTGAGAGAGTGAGAATGAGAGAGAGAGAGAGCACATGAGAGGGGGAAGGGTCAGAGGGAGAAGCAGACTCCCCGCTGAGCAGGGAGCCCGATGCGGGACTCGATCTCGGGACTCCTGGGACTCCAGGATCATGACCTGAGCTGAAGACAGTCGCTTAACCAACTGAGCCACCCAGGTGCCCCTGGCCACTCCTTTTTAATGCACTGATGATGAAGCTAATACATGGAGAGAGTTTTAGAAGTTAAGTAGGCAAAGGGGTTAAGGGATACTAGAATGAGGTGGGGGGGTGTGGCGCTTTCCAAGCAGAGGAAGCATGTTGTATTTATGGAGCCAGGAGAAGGCACACAGATACTCACCACTATTATTACTAGCCTCTGGTTTGATGAAGGCCTGTGGGTTACCTTTAGAGTAAGAAGAAATTCTTAGGCTTGTAAGTAGGTTCCTGAAATACTGAGACTTCTGAAGATTTTCTTTGCTTTAAGGGGACAACAGAAGAGGTTATTTGACCTGGACTTTTCTAGAAAATCCTGGGTATGGAGTTGTCATATATAAACCTTATAGGCAGAAATCAGTCTGTTACTCCTTCTTCTTCCCTCTAATAATTTCTGCGGCTAGAATCTTAGATTGACATCAATTAAAAACACTAAGAATGGCACCCTCACCCTTCCACAGGTTACCTAAAACCTTTTGGCACACTGACTCCATCAACTCCATGTAGCTCACACTTACATGGTTCTCATTAAAAAGTTTTTAATTCAGTTGAACATCAAGCAAAAAGCAGTTTCTCTGACACTTTGAGGGTTCCACAAAGGAGACAATACAATTTTTTAAAATAATAAAATAAATAAAAACTTTTGACTTCAATACACAGAACTTTCCTGGACCCTGGGTTATTTCCTATAAATAGAGAATAGTAGTTTTTATAAACTATAAAACAGGGCTATAGAACTCTATCCAAAGACTAAAACCACCCTCTTTTGAAAATCTACAGTTCTGTTACCAAAAGAATGCATGCATTATATACTTTAATGATTGAAAAAAATAGTAGTGATACTTAAATTCTCCTCGCAACTACAAATTCATAGAAACTATTCAGGTTGAGAAATTTGGAGTTTTAGTTTAGGCCTTTTTTTAGTGTGGTATTATTGTTACAAGTGCTCCAAAACAATAGTGGCTTAAATACAGTAATAAGATTGGTAATGGTGCGACTATCGTGTATGTACCTTCAGCACAAGGGCTGGTGAAAGGCTGATACTCTGAGATCAGCTTCTCTCTCATGATCTAAGAATGTCTGCTTCAGCTCCTGGAATCACATCTACATTCCAGCCAGTGGGAAGAAGAGAGGGATGCAGCTCCGTGGAAGGGCATGACGCAGATGCTATGCACGTCACTTCTGCTTGCATCCTTTTGGCAAGAACTTAGTTACATGGTCACAACTAGCTACAAGAGAGGTAGGAAATATTGCGGAAAAATTGTCTTAGGCAGGCAGCCCATGTGCCTATCGAAAACTCAGAGAGCCTATTTCTAAAATAAAAAAGTGGAGAATGGATATTGGAAGACCGTAGCGGTGTGTGCTATATTCGCCATCTTTTGGCAATTGCCAAAGGAACGAGTTGTGTAGCTTTAAGCTTAGATGTGAGTATGTAATCAAAGGGTTAAATGAATGTCTGTGCAGACACAATTCTATTTATGCATCTTATACTCCACATAACCTGGCTTCATTCATTTTTATATTCCTGCCATCTAGCTTAATATACTACTGAAAATAAACACATCATACATGGTTTGGAATGAATGAAGGAACATCCCTTTTTGCCTTTCTAGTATAATCTGTATTATGTGTGAATTTTTTTTCACACTTGCCATTTGTTTGTTCCTATCTATACTTTACTTACTTTTTTAAAGAGGATTTAGAAGTAGAGATGATCATAGTCCATAGTACAATAGAGACATGCTTTGTGTCTTGTGTGTGTATGTGTGTGTGTAAGATCTGAGAAATCTGAATTAACTTCTACCACAGGACCAACTTTCCTTAACCCCCAAAGTGATAGTATTAACCCTACTATTAAGTCTTAATTATTAATAGAGTAGTTGTGTGTTTTTTGAAGGTTCAGGACTGTGTCTGAGAATTATAAAAACATTCTTGTTTTTCAGCTGTTACCTGATGTCATTAATTAGTTTGTGAAGACGTTTTCTCTGAACTTTATGCGTGTATTTTACATATTGACTAGCTATCTCTGGAGAAGATAAGATGGCCTGAGGAACGAGAGTTTTTTGATACAATTTTTCACATCTCAGAAAGAGGCATTTTATTGAGTTTTTGGCCACTGTACCTATTTTTTTTTAGCCTTCTGTTAACCTCCAGATTCATTTGTTCATGTGTTAATTCCTACTACATGTTTTTAATAACTCTTAAATGCCACATGCTGCAGTAAGTGCTGGGAATATGAAGATGGACCAGACCCAGCCTGCATCTCTCTGAGCTTAGTGTCTCTGACACACAGTGTGGGGGTCTCTGTGCCAGGCCCCACACCGTGCAGTAACTGAGGGGCAAGCAAGGAGCTCTGGGAGGCAAGGTGGGGCAGGCAGAGTGTTGATGGAATTGAGGTGAGTCTTCCTAGTTGAATAAGAGCTTGTCAGTGATGAGCTGGGGGGAGGGTATCGGAGGCTGAGGGCACTGGATGCAGGCTAATAATATGGCAACAGTTTCATTTGGTGAGAGTGAGGGATACAGTGTGGGTTAGAGTTGGAGTGGGAGACCTGGGACCAGAGCCCCTCAGACACCATGCAGAGGAGTGTGAACTTGATATCCCTCAATCAGTAGCTTTGAAACTTTTTTGTCTGTGACCCATAGTAAGACATACCTTTTTACATGATGATTTATTACGAGGCCTGGTCCTATCACTTGCGGGGCCTGGGCAAGAGGACAAATGGGGATACAAGATAGCTAATTATTTAAGAAGTTATAAGTCAAGGCAATAAACTATTACAAAAGGATATACCAATCTACCTTGACAAATGTACCTTATAACAAAAACAGTGAAAATTGTGTGTAAAACCACTGATACCAAATAACTGAGAAGAGTGCAAATTTAAAGTTAATTTAGACTTCCACCAAAAGACTGTCATTCATCCTGGGGAAACTCAGGGACGATGGCAACCAGGCCAAGTAGAGGAGAGGAGGAAAAGGTTCCCTCAGCCGTCTCTTCTGATGCCTGTGGCATCTGTCCTTTGTTTTCTTCTCATGGCCGGGGGGAGGAGCTCTTCTATCTGTCCTATCATTGCCCCTTTCCTATACGTACCAGCCAGGCACCTGAGTTCCAAGGGCCATCTAGACTGTGCCAGTCTGGTCTAAGGGGCAGCCTCTGGCCCCGTGGTGCTCCAGCTTCCTACTCTCGCGGAAGGGTTTGAATTAAGAATTCTCTGAGCAGAAATGTGCAAGAGTAGGGAAAGCATGTTCCTCTGTCCTCTTTGCTCACCCATCCTTCTGTCCTCAGGTCCAGTCTCCCTCCTTCCAGCAACAGCTTTTGACCACCCCTTGGGCTGGAGGTACACACACACTAGTCGCACAACCTGACTTAAAGAAAGGGCTTTAGTCCCTAGGCTGAGGAAGCCAGCTCAGGGCCATTTGGGTGGAGAATGCTGGGGACCCTGGTACTTGGAGCTTCAGATAGAAGGGACTCCTTACCTGGTGGGGAGGAGGACACAGCCAGAGGAAGGCCAGAGCAGAGGTTTTTTTGCTCACTTGTAAGGGTGGTAATGCACAACACGCATGTGCGATCATGCACACACACAAATGCACATACGTGTAACTAAAAGTTGCACAGAATTGCACATCCTCTCACTATGTGAAGCGCATTTGTCTTTTCTATTCTATTTCAGTTTATTATTGATTTACTTATTATTTATTTATTTTTAACGATCTTATTTATTTATTTGACAGAGAGAGAGAGAGAACAAGTAGGCAGAGCGGCAGGCGGAGGGAGAGGGAGAAGCAGGCTTCCCGCGGAGCAGGGAGCCCGATGCGGCACTCGATCCCAGGACTCTGGGATCAGGGCCTGAGACGAAGGCAGACGCTTAATGACTGAGCCACCCAGGTGCCCCTATTTCAGTTTTTAAAAAATACTAGTTGTAATCCACTAAATGAATTTTATAATCCATTATTGGGTCAATTTGTGACCCAAGTTTGGAAAGCTCTGCTCTAGTTTTTGAGGTGGTGGTGATGTGATCAGATTAGTGTTTTGGAAACTTCTGGCAGCTGATGGGATAATAGATTGGAAGGCAGGGTGGGATAGTGGTTATGAGATTCTGAGCAAAAGATAGGCCCGAAGATGGTAAGAGTGAGAACAGAGAGGGGGGAAGGCAGTAGAATCAATAGGTCTTGGTGACTAATTTGATATTGGGGGTGCAGAAGAAAACTGGAACAATGTCATGATATCCAATTTCAATGCTATATTGCAGGGAGTTATATTTGAGGGAAAAGAAATTGAATTCAGCCTCGTACGTATACCATTTGAAGCCCCAGGACAACCTTCAGGTAGTATTGCTTGTTCGTTGGAGAGAGGTTTAGTAAAGTTGGGACTGTAACAGGGCTTTTGGGTTTAGCGATAGGAAGCCAGTGATAGACTTTAGCAAGGACACATTGTAGTGGCTCTAAGAGTGAATATATTGGGAGGTGAGGAGAAGAAGACATACGGTAGAGTTTCTCCGTTCCATATACTTGATTGTAAGCGCAGGAAAGTAGGGCACCAATTTGAAGGAGGGCATTCATCTCATCCCCGAGCACTTCTCTGCAGAAGGGAGGAGGGACCTGCAGAAAGCTGGGGATTGAAGATACAGCATAGAGGAGTCATTCACACAGTCTGGTTTCAGGCTGGATGAGAGAATGCCTTTTAGCGTAGAAGTGGAGGGAATCTTCGACAAAAGGAAGAACACCTCTTATGCAGGTGAGGAGACTGTGTGTGGAAGCAGAAGATCCCCTGAACAGACAGTTGTGTTCAAGCACTGTGTCCGTGCTTGTGACCAGTGGGGAAGATAGGCAAGGAAACCAGCAGGGCATGGGGCAAGTGTCCTTTAGACTGGGGCTCGGGGAAACAAAGAAGAGGGCCTGCGGCAGGGCTTTCCAGAACAGAAGAGAGGACAAAAAGCAAAAATGGTGTGCACCTGAAATGGTAGTCAGGGATGGGTCAGAGAAGGATTGAGAGGACACTGTGGTTAGCCAGGGCTTGGGAAAAATGTGCACCTGGCTTGCAGTGCTGGTTATTGATGACCATGGTCGTCATAATACCTTTTTTTTTTTTTTTTTTTACAGTTATTGACTTAGTTTAAGCATCAGGTGAAACTTTACTTGAGAATACTTGAGAAAATGGGTCTTCGTGACAAAGGAAGCTGCTTCTTGCTTCTCCTTTTCCCCTCTCGCCTTTGATGACTTCTCTTGAAACTAATTTAGGTAAAGAAAGCCACTGCTTCCAAAAGTGCTTTGGTACCCTGGCAGAATTTCAAAGAAATCTCCTTTCCCACTTAGTTAACTGCATTTCCCCAGGAAAAAAAAAAAAAGTCTTCTCTGTCAACGTAACATCCCTTAACAGGACTCCTGCTGGTGGGTTCTTGTATCTCGCTGTGGCAGCTGTGAACATATATACTATTGATTGTTAATGTGTGATATAAATCCGACTGGAGCATGCCCACTAATTGGTTTGAGAGCTAGGTATAGACAATGCTGCCTTGTAGTAGCTTGTGTAGATAGGCCTAGTCATAGGGTTAATTCTGCTTGACAGCACAGAGCAGCATCTTGAGAGTAATTACCCAACAGAAGTTTTCCCACAGCCGAACTGAGAGCTTCAAAGGCTTCTGAATTCACAACCAGTATTAACCTATATCTGAAACGTAACGTTCCCACAAGGGCTCAGATTCTTTTTTCCTCTTTCTTATTAAATGTATGGGGCTACCAGGTTCATTCACTTGGTGAAGAACTTAGTGAAAAATTACTTGGTGTTGAATAATTGAAAACCTTTAATAATAAGTGAAGAGGATAAATTTAAATTTGAGCTTTTTATTGCTTTATTATATTACGGAAACAAGTTAATCTGCCTTTTTTTTGGTCCATAATTTATCCCCCTTCTCTCAAAACAAGTTAAAAAGTCACTATCTTTTTCCTACTGTGCTATCCCTACAGATAATATGCATGTTTCGGGGACCTAGGATAATGCATACATCTAAAATAGTTAAAATAGATTTGTGTTTACATTTAAAAAAGTGATTTTCCTTGTTGACCAATGTACTGAAATCTATAACCATTGTATCCCCTCCCACAGAGTAATAGTTGCTCTTTAATAAGCAATTTTTATATTGTAAAAAATTTCTTTCTCTTTTCAGGTCCGAAAGCAAGTTTGACTCCGGTTCAGGTATGTTTTCATTAGTAATGTTATTCTGAGTATATTTTATTTACATTATTCTCTGAGGAATAACTCATCAGATCAAGAACCTTTTTGATTTTAAACAGACTAGGCAGCCTCTTTTCAAAACATGAACCCCACCTCAAAGCAGGGCTGCTTGGAATCATAACTTGAGATGTTCACTTTGGGATTCTTGAGAGTTCTGTAATAAGCGTTAAATGCCCTATATCTGCAGAGTTTCGTTTTAAATGCAGAAGTAAGGGTTGTACATACTTATTGCTCAAAATAGAATATTATCCTCTAAGTAGATAAAGCATCCTGAATAATTTGAAGATTATGTGCAAGTGACTTGTCATCAAATGTGGGTAATAAATACATTTAATCCTGCAAACTATAGTTTATGTGCTGCTGAAGGGAGCACTAATCCAAAAAACTATAAAGAGTTTTAGCCAATAGAAGTATAAATTTGTCTATGATTCGTTAGTTTTTTAAAAATTTGTTTATTTGGGGGTGTAATGGAAAACTAAGGTCACCTTAAGCCATTATTTTGTATCTATCAAGACAGAATTTACATTTTCAGAAACAGTGGCATATCAACCTCATTAGATGTCTTCTTTTCATTAAGCATGAATGTAGCCATATAATCCTTAGGTTAGACTGTGTCCTTATGTCATTTGCTGAGATTTATGTGCTCCAGAGTGTCTAATGGTGTTTATAATTAAAGCACAAAAAATTGTCTCATATTCATACAAAGGAATTATGCCCTTTAGTGAACTGTTAATAGGTAAGTAAACATTGATTTTCAATTCCAGGAGAAAATAATTTAACAAAGAAACATATAATTTATTGAATTTAAAAGTAACATTCTTACTCTGGTTTGAGTTCCAATATGTTTTAACTTAAAAAAAGTTTTTGTTTATTATGTTCACAAAGGAACTAAGGACTATATATATATCTATATATCTTCTTTTTTGTCGTGATGTTAAGGAGCTAATGTGCTTTTCTTCTTTAAAAGCTTCATCTTTCTTTCATTGTATACCTTTATGAATGTCTCCAACTTGGTGAGACTCTTTAAATATGAAGTCTGTACATTTGAGTTAACAGTTTCACCTAATTTGATAATCATAATTCTAGAAATCTGTCCATTCTGTGTGCTCTTGGGTTTCTGAATCACATCTGACAGTGAAAGCATAAGATACACATTTCTGGTTTACAATATTGACTAAATGGAGACTAAAGGCATGGTGGTATTATATCGATGATTTGACTTTTTATTGATTCATAGGAGGTGACTCAAAATAAGGTGAAAAGTCTTTGTCATTTTTTAAATATTAAAATCTTTAAGTAGAATAAAAAATAAATGGAGAAAATTGATGGAATATGAATTTTTACATAAAAGTTGGGTGTCTTTTTATATCATTGCCAGTAAGTCACCAAATATTTATTAAGAGCCTACTTTGTTATGATCTGATTTAATTCCCTAAACTTCAGGTCAGAAACTGGTTTTAGGGTAAAGGATCTGGAACGTAGCTCTTAAAAATGAAAAAGTCCACCAGGTTCATTTTGAAGGTAAAACCTGGAAATAGTGTACAAAATTGAAATATTAGGCAGCTATTGTCAAAGTCAGAAAATTTATGTTGAATTTTCAAATCCAAATTGAAGCGTGCTGCTAAATTCTTGTAGTGATAGTTATAACATCTGTACAGGCACACATCTTTCACTCTGGTGACCAAAGATTTTGCTCCTGATTCTTATTTTTTCCAAGTCCTAATTAAAAAAAAAAAAAATGTTTATGATGGACAACATCTGCATATCTTTGAAAACTACAAAGTTCTGTACTCTGAAAAATCTTACGGGGAATACTGATTAAAAGTTTATTTATTCTTTCAATTTTGAAATTAAATATGTTGTGGAAAGAATTCAGATGGTTTCAAATTAAGAAACAGGTAATTATGTTTTCTTATAAGCTCTTTTAGCTTAGTATCGGATGAGGGAATCATGACAAAGGAAGCTAGAACTGTGTTCTTTGGCATGCTCTATCATGCAAATTTTGGTTAGAAATAAGATGGCATATTGGAACAATTAAATGTATGACTTTAATAGATTCAGATTTTCTATTGTTCATCAAATACAAAAAGTAAACTAGCTCTGCTTAATGTTGTATACAGCTGTAACAGTGTTCCTGACAAAGTAAGATTTTTAAATGAAGGAAGATGCCAATCTTATTAAGAAAAAAAACACTTAAAAAATAAATAGTTTGGTTAATGACTAGCCATAAAGGAAAGGATTTCAAAATAAAAATTTACATATATATATATATATCTTCCGTCCCAAGTAAGGAACCCAGCTTCTGCAGAGCTTACTGCACATTTGCAATTTGTGTAAATGGATTTCTTACTGTGGAGTGAGATTCACGAGGAAGGAAGGAAATTTTTCATTGTTAGCACATGGTGAAAAATGTCAGTCGTTGAATACATACGCAAACAATCATCCTAGAGAGTGATTTATTTTTTTTTATCAAAATTGTATCAACTTTTTTTCTACAAAAGCAAATCCACAAACAGCTTGTGTTTTAAGTTTCAAAAAATTTTATAATGAAATAGTTCAACTATATATAAAAATAGAGTGTAGTATAATGAACACCCACATATCCATCATCTAGATTTTACAATTGTTAATAGTTTGCCATATTCGTTCCACTTTTCTTTTTTTGCTTGAAATATTTTAAAGTAAAGTACATACATTTCATGTCATTTTTAAAGCCTGAAGATTATAACTGCCTTGACTTAGTGAAAGAGATCAACTGGTTTTTTTTTTGAGGTTTTCATTTGTCTCAGAAATTTGAGTCACATACAGATTCTTATGGAAAGGATCGTGGCATTACCATGTCCCCATTCAGTTAAAGGGACATCGAAAGTTTTATCTGGGGTGAAGGTTAAGAAAACCTTCAACCAGAAGGTAGTGGCACTGAATTAATTCTGATCCAAGAACCCCAGGAATGTTCTGTCCTCAAGATCAATTTGATTAACACTTTAGCTGCCATCTAGCTGTGTGCTCTGTGTCCTGAGGTATATGCTGATTAAACTCTGTTTCTGTTAATTTGTAACTCAATCACCTCAAGTTTTTGGCTTTGCTGATTGAGAGCAATCAACCTACCTTCTTTCTAAAGGAGTTTTAAGGTTTCCGTTTTAATACTTTTTCCCAGTTGATGTACTAATGTTGCTTGCCTGCAATCGTGTGTAGTTGGTGATTTTACTAATAGAGTAAAACAGACTTCCTTTTATGTTCAGAAGTAGCAAGAAGCTCTGCTCTTCTCCCCACCTCCCAAGAAGGGAAGTTAGTTGATGCTGGAAGAAGCAGAGCATTGAGTTTAATGTAGTGATTAAACATGAAAGCCATATATCAACTCTCAGGAGAAACATGCTCTTGAAAGAGGCAGGGAACTGTGGAGCGTATTGCATGATAGGCTATGTAAACAGAGCCCTGGAGGTCAGTGTGTGGATGCGAACCAATTAAATAAAGAAATTACTGTCTTTGCTTTCTATCATCTGGATGGGGAGGATCCCAAGTTAACATGCACAGGGTTGAAGTGTAAACTTTGCTTGAATAAGTTATAGGCACCTCTGGAAACGTCATTAACTCTTTCAATTCACTACTACGTTCTTTTTCGTTTTTAAATTTAACCCAAAGAAGTTAAATCAAAAACAAAATGTTGCTCTCTTTGCCCTTCTGTACATGTCCATTGGCAAAGGTGCTAGTGATGAGTAGAACGGAAGAGAAAGCAGAAGATGAACCGCTGAGAAGAGCAGAGTTGACTGTGCAGTCAGATTTCAAGAACGTGCACAGTCTTAAAAACAACCCATTTGGAAGAGCAGAGCTCTTGCAGAATAACTGAAAAAAGATGTTTTCCTCTTCTCCTGAATACTGGGTATAAGGCAAAGCTGTAGTTGGAATTTACCAGTCACTACATGGCATCAGGATAGTGTTATTTCTGTTCTATTAACATAGAATAGTTTTTTGACCAAGAAGAACCTGAAGCCTATAAGTTAATAACTATATGTTAAGGACTGCCTGGAGTCCAATTCTATGGTCTTAACCTTCTCAGGCAATGTTTGGACGAGAAAAATAAATGTCAGGTTAAAATGGTATAGTTTCATGGTCCATAAACATTCAAAACAAAGATTTTTTTTTTTTCTTCTGTAGAGTCATGTTGGCTGAGAAAGTGAATAAGCTTATGTTTAGTGCTTGTTGATTCTGGGCTGCTTGGAATAGCTATACTAAGGAAATGGGCTCATAGAACACAGCAACTCAAAGGTATAAGATTTCATGAAAGCAAATTATGGAGGATTAAGAAACCTAATGAGCATGGTTTAGTGTGGAGAGTAGAGGAGGGAGCTCACTATTAAATAAAGCCCAAGAATGTACAAGGTTAGGAGATCCTAGAAGACACGATAATAAAAGGCACAACAGAATATAATTATCCTGAAGGAAAAAAAAAAACAAAAAACCAACAAAAAACCCGAGGAACAAAAAGCAGCTAGAGTCGCTTTTAAGATCTGTATAAAAAGGCCTCTACACCGGGGTAAGGAAATCAAAGAATATAATCAGTTAAAGCTTGAGGCAAAAACATAAGGGCAATGAAAAATACAGTGGACTGTTAACGGTGGTCACTAAGTTGAAGGGAAATGAGGAATTTGAATATAGTAGAACTAGAGTTTTGAAAGCTTGAACAAATGAGACAGTCTGCCTAACATAGTAAGGTTTTCTCAAGAAATGTTAATAAAGGAAACATTTTCAGCTCTTACCAATGTGGAGATTATGTTGGCAATATTTTTCAGCTGCCTCAAATCAATTTTGTCATTTTTAATTTCTTCTTTTTGAAGGGCTCGTAACAACAAAGAGCAAGGAAATAGAATATAAATCTCTAGATGAGTATTGAAATCTGTCTCTGAGCATCATTCATTAGTAGAAATAAGAAAAATGTTGTCTATTCATCTGTTCATTCATTC